AAGAACTAGTTTTATTGATAAGTTATTGTATTTATTATACTAGTATTTTTTATTTTATTTAATCATATGTTTATTTCTAGGTTCTCATAATGCTAAATAAAAGTAATATTAACATAGCACTCTTCTATAATCAATTTATTTAATCAGGCATGGGCTTTTTACCTCTCCTCTTATTTCCCATGGGATGGGCGTTTATAGCTTTGTCTCTTGATTATTGAAACAATAATGATTATTCTTGTCTAGAGAAAAATGATTCTATCATTCAGATAGTCCCATTAGGTAGTGAATGCGCGTACTCAGGAATTTGGTGTGGGGGGGGGGATAATTAAAATTTTTTTAAATAAAATATTTAAAAATATCAAACATAAATTTATTAGGACTAATAAATACAAATTTAAATTAATATGAATTATAAAAAATTAAATATATAAACCGGTATATAAAAATAAATTTGAATTAAAAAATATTAAACGGATATAACCGGTGGCATATAAATACTTTAAATAAATCTGAATTATAAAATATCAAGTGGATATAACCAGAATATGAGTATAAAATAAATAACCCATAATAGAAATTTAAATTTTTTTAAGCCTTTAAAATTTATATATAAAGTATAAAAAATTTAAATGTTGGAAATATGAATAATTATATTTTTTATGTAAAAGAAAAATATATAAGACATTAAAAATGATTGCAAAAAAAATATTATAGAAACATTATATTTTTACAATGTAAAATCCAATCTTCGTTGGGATTGAGCTAATTTTTCAATTATCTCATCCGTGCTTGGCGTCAAATGCCTATGAATATTCAAAAGGGCCAGACCATTCAATCTACTTTCAGAAGTTGTACTTCTTAGGTGCGACGTTTTTAATCTTCTTAAAGAAGAGAATGTTCTCTCATTAGTTGCAGTACTAATGGGAAGAGTTGCTAATATATATAATAATTTCAATATATTGGGAAAATAATCTAAAAGATGTTTCAATTTTTTGGGACTATATCAACCATAGTTAATCTTTTATACCATAGTTGGCATTCAGCTAATAAAGCATCATAAGATACATTAACGTCTTCATTATAAAAATCTGCTAAATATTTTTTTTTCTATCACCATCTGAAAAAGGTTCAGAGGGCTTTTGCGGAAGTAATATCTGCAGATTGGTAAGTGCAGCTTGATGAATTAAAAACCGTTCATTTACTTGGGTTATAAATGTATCCAAAAGAGGTATAAAGACATTAATTTTATAATATTCTTCTATTGACCCTATATTAATATTTGGATGATAAGCTTGCCTTGCTGCAAGTCGAGAGAGACAAATATTGAACTCGTATAGCTCTGCTTTTGATTCAACAATAATATATAAAATATGAAATTCCTCATTATCATTAGCTCTAATTTCCTTGAGTTCTAATAAAATTGTCTCTGCTATTCTCATCATCTCAACCAAATCAATATCAGGTTTTTGAAAAGTATTACATAAAATAGTTGTATAATTAAATAATTTATTAATACATTCTAATGCGAAAAAAAAATTGGTATAAGTATTGAATTCAGTAACTTGCTTGCTTCTGAAGAAATATCTCTTTCAGACCATTGTGATATTTCTGTAAGAGCATTAATAATTGGCTCTTCAAACTCCATAAAAGCTGTTACTGCTTGATATCGAAGACTCCATCTTGTTGGACAAGCTTTTTGCAATTTTTTTCTCCTTGTTGGGCAATGAGTTTCAGATATAATTCTGTTCAAAATATTTTGACGTTTGGGGTATCTAAACAACTCATAGATGCTAGATATTTTACCTGATATAAATATAAAAAATTCAATTTAAATAATTAAAATTATACCTAAGCAATTTGATATCAATGGTAAAGAACATGAATCTGATTTTGCTAAGTTGAGTGAATGGGCAGCACAGTAGACATATATAGCTGTTGGACATTTTTTTTAATAAATGACTGAAGTCGTAAGAATTGTCCACTCATTGTACGTGCTCCATCATACCCTTGCCCACGTATTATATTTATATTTAGCTATATTTTTTAAAATAATTTTATAATAAGATTAATTATTACTTTTAATTTTTTAAGATTCTCAAATATTACATCAGCTAAAGCAGACCCAGTCATGCTTGAAACAGGAATGAATTGTAGGAACATTTCCTTGATAATGTTATTATGAGTATCTACAAATCGCGCACACAGTGACATCTGCTCAATGCCAGCACCAGCAATGTCCGTGGTCTCATCTGCCAAAATTGAGAAGCATGGGGCAGAATTGATTTCAGCAATCATTTATCTAAAATGATATTGTTGCAAATATCAATTATCTCATTTTGTATCTTAGGGCTAAGATAAGTAGCATTTTTATTGCCACTAATGAGGCTCTCCATTAATACAGGATCTCCTAATGCTTTAAATTTTAAAAGTCCACAAAGATTACCTTTGTTATCATTATTATTAAAATTCAAGCTTCCTGAATCCTTGTGGCCACGTAGTGCTAGGCCTTGCAAGCCACAATATAAAATGCCTCAGTAGTTAGTTTTATCTTACATCTATTTTCTTTTGCGATTTTAACCCTGTTTTTATCAATAAGTGATGAAATGGGAATCATATCCCCCTTTTGAGTTGATTCTTTTGACGAAATCATCAGTTCATAGCTTTTGTGATAATTTGTTTTCTGATGATTGTCAAAAATTTCCCCCGCATCTTTGTATTTGTTGAAAGGAGTCTTAACAAGAGTGTTAAGCTTAACTAGATTTCTGCCAGCATATCGTAGTCCAAATAGGACACATATCTTGCAATAAGCTCCACTGTCTCGGATGGAGTATGCTAGCCATAACCATCTAGTAAAATAGCTATTTTGAAATTTTAACTTTCGATTAGCTCATAAAGTTTGGGGATATTGAAAATTGAGGGGTGGAATATAAATCTATTATTAAATAAAATATTTATCATAGATATCTTTAATATATACGTTTTTTAGAAGTATATGTCTTTCTTCTAGGCTAATATTATCTTTATCTAAAAAATTAGCTATATAATATGGATGATCATCTCTAGTTTTGTATAAAGATTTTAGTTTTAAGTTTATGTCTAAATGTTGAGATGTAAATTAAAATTATTTTTAAAAAAATTATTGCTGCACATTGTTGCAATCTCATTCTTTTACTAAATTAAATATCTAAAATTATTATTTATTAAATAATACCAGCTAAGTTATTATAAAACTGCCCAAATGTATTTTTAGAATAACTAACCTTTAGATGGCTCTATATCCTGACTCTCAATTATTCTTTCAACAATTCTTTCATTATTTGCTATTATGGGGGGGGGGGGTTTAATTGCTAAAAATATTTTAAAGTTAAAATTTTATTAAATTATTATATTATACTTTTTTGCTTTTTGGTATGATTTTCACTATCTTCAGTGTTTTTAAAAAAAAGTATAGTATCCATGATTAGAAATTTGAAAATGGTGAAAAAATATAATACCGGAAAATTTAAAAATAATAGATAAATATTACGCCAAGGAAAACTTGAAAATGAAATTAATTGATAAAATAAATTAGTAAATAAAAAAGGTAATAATATAAAAATTTAAAAAGAAAGAGATATGAATAAATATAATAAAATATAAATGAATATAAACAATAATATTTTTGAAAAATATATCCGGCATCTGCATTTTTTGGCTTTGAGCGAGGGAGTATTTGCCCCCCCCCCCCGCTGCGTACGCCAATGAGGTAGTGTATTTTAACATTATATTTATATTTTTTTCTAAGTGAATGTTGATGTAAGATCTGCAGTAAATTTTATTATATTAATTTATTGATCAATTATACTATCTTATAGATAATACATTCAAAAGTACCAAATTTGCAATCTGGTTAAATTTACTTATATTTTAAAAATATGTATATAATTATTTTAGGAATTTTAAGAAAGAATGCTGACTGTGAATTTAGCAAGATTTTTAACATGGTTCAAAATAGGTACATTCATATAATATGATAATAAACATGCTAAGATCAAGACAAGTATATAGGAATAATATTTCACATAATCAATTGAGGAGTATTACAGATTTACTATTTTTATACCACTTATGGATACATTTTTAACTCAAATTAGAAACGCTTATTGAATCATACACTGTTGCTCAATAACTTTCAAATTTTGTTATACTCTATTCTATCAGTAAGCATCTCGGTAGATTAGAAATACAATTCACTATTTATATACGTTTTATTTGTAAGATATAGTATGGACTTATTGAAAGTAATTTAAATTTAAATATTGGAAAAAGAATGGACATTCCTAAGAATTCACTCAGTGTTTGTAAACACATATTAATAAACTTTTCAAAATTTTAGCATGCCTCACTATTACGACATGTACTAATGAAAAAACCTTGTCGAATTTACGAAGGCTAAAAATATATTTGCGAAATACTACCTCGCAAAATAGATTAAATGACTTAGCGCTCATTTATTATATTTTATATAAACTAATAAAAAACATATATCCAATTTGTTCCAGACTTATTTTTTGATATAATCTCTTTACCAATTTAGTATATTTTAAATAAAGATAATTTTTTTAAAAATTAAAAATAACCTATTTTGTAAAAATATTTCATAATTATATATAGACTAAAGAAACCCAGAAGGCCCGCTAAAAATGGGATCTAGGGGTGAAACCCCCTGAAATTTATTAATTCCCCACCCCACTTAGGAAAATCCTGGCTACGCATATGGTATAGTTTAATATTTTTATTAAAAAAATGTTTTTAAATTGTTGATGAGAATATGCAGAATGGACTCATTATTATAATATATAGCTATATATTTTACAAAATATTTATTCTTAGAAAGTTTCAAAATTGATTATTTAATTAAAGAAAAATAATATTCAAAATTCTTTAGTCATTAAAAATAAAAAAAACATCTTATCGTTTGGACTACCTCGATTGTAGACAGATGTCATGTAAAACCTGTTATTACTATCCCTTATTTTAAAATCCACATATTTTATATTTTCGGCGGCGCGGCGGTGTGATTTTCTTAAACTAAATGAAATCAATGGTTGTTATAGACGAGATGTTTCCTGATGGACCTAATTCATTTATGGAGACAGAAGTTGACTAGCGAAACAACTCATATAATTATTTTTATTTAGAATATGGCTTTAAATATTCTTACAGATTTTACTAATAATGAAAAGATGATCCATATCGATTTTGATAACAGTAATTAATCTATATTAAAACTTATATTATGATTATATTATGACATCTCATCTATCTATACGTTGTAATGAAAAATTTGAATTACAAAGTTAATATAAGTTTACAGTTTGTTTAAAAACAAATTAAAATAAGAATAATTCATTATACCAAAATATGTGAAATTCATTATGTATCCAAACTTTAAAGCAAAGATATGCTTTTATCACTTTTTTTAACCAATAATTTACACAATTTTATTTACTGATTCAAGAAAACACTAAAAATATTATAAACTCTTTGAAAAATCATCCACCCTCAATATATTTTATTGTTAATTTAATAAATAAGATGTTTTTTAATCTGAACAAGCCTCATTTATAGTACGAGCAATGGCGTAGCCAGGATTTATCCATAGGGAGAGGGGGTTAAAATTTTTTTGAGAGCTTTGCCCCCAAACTTCTTTTCTTCCAGGCCATTGGCTGAGTCATCAAAAAATAAAATTAATTTTTTGGTAGTTATTTTTATATCATCTTTGTTAAAATTGGCTGAACATTGGGAATATTAATTCTAAAATTTACCAATATTTTGTGCCTTATTAGTATCTGTAGCCAGCATTAATGAAAAAATATTAATAACAAAATTTTGGCCAAATTTGTGATTAATAGGTGACTGAAAGCATTTTAAAATTTTATCAACATTTAGTGTTCAATTCTAAATTGGTTTAATCCATTCTGTGTAGAAAAAAATTGCCCTCCCCTCCCCCCCAAACTTCTCATTTTTTGTGATCACTCAATATATCTTATTCTATGTTAAAAATAATTATTAATTAAATTTTTGCATATAACAATTTTGCAGAGAATTTCATTATAGATTTTATTTATTATTAAAATACTTTAGTATAAATTAGAGGTCTGCATTGAGTGGGGTTTCATGCCAGTCAATATAAGTGGGCTGATGAAAAATTTTATTCGTTTTTTTAAGTGAAGAACACTTAAGTTTTTCGACATCTTTATCTAATTCTTCCCACCATATATAATGTCTCGTAATGGATTTCATTGATGTAATACGATGTCCCGTATGCAATATATGTAAAACTTTTTTCAAGTGAGCCGATTTTTTCTTCTTTCTTTTTTCAAGGGTTGTGATGGCGGATTTCCATGGTATACGGCAACACTTGGTATATCTCTGCATTGTTTTTGACATCCTACAGCTGTTTACTAGTTTTTTGACCCACCATATATAATGTCTCATAATGGATTTCATTGATGTAATACCTGGATGTCCCATATGCAATATATGTAAAACTCTTTTTTGAAGTGAGTATGGAATGATTAATCTGCCATTTCAAAATAAAATACTGTCATCATTTTCTATTTCATCTATTCTTATTCTAAAAGCTTGTAATTCTGGTGCTTGATTTTGTATATTTTTACCATTTATTAATATTTTTACGCTTCTTAAAAAATATAAATAAAATTTTCGCAATAAAAAAATGTGGGGAGGAGGGGCCCCAAACCCCCTCCTCCTCTTGTCTATGCCAGTGAGTATGAGAATGAATGCCAGAAATAACTGCTGGGAAAAAAATTTGTATTATTAAAAAGAAAATATAATACCAACAAAAATACTATCTTTTAAATAAATTAACATTTTTAAGGTGAGTATTTGTAATTGGATATTTTAATATCCAATGAGCTAACTATTTAAAAAATAAGTGTATTTAATTATTTTTAATAGTTTATTTTATTATATACTAATTATAATTTTAATTAAAATATTTAAATTTTTAGAGTTCTGAGCCAAACCTGGCTTAAGGGCATTTTTCTGAACCCAATGAAAATCGGAACTTAAAAGCATTTAAAACTCAACCCATTTTTCTGATTTTTGTATTAAAAAGTGATATACAAAATATTAAGAGTTGTTAAAAGATACTTTTTAAATGGATACAGATACATTGTCTAAAAAGTTATCTTGGTACATATACAATTTTTAAAATGTATCCTGATACAGATACAATGTTTATTATACTCTTATCTAAGGTTTGCATAAACCTAAATTAGGATTCTATTGTGAAAATTCATGATCTGAGCTAAAAATTTTATTGACTCCACATTTATCAAAATATAAATAAAATATTTTAGATTTTTATATATTAATGTAATATATGAAAATATATGATTAAATGATTATAAATAATTATTAGATTTCAGTAATAAAATATTTTCAAAATTTTGGTCATTAAGGCATCCTCGTTTATCTGTAAAGACATTTTTAGCTACACAAAAAAGTCTTTCTACCAAGGTGCTTGAAGGGAATGTGGTGTTATATTTTATGAATAACAATTTTATATCAGGATATTCTTTAACTAAAGTTGTGCAATATATTTAATGAATAAAATATTAAATATTTTAATTAAAATTATAATTTTACCCTCTGATATGGTTTACACTGCATGGTTCTATTGGCATCCATAGTGGCAACAAGATTTAATGTGTGACTGGCACAACATTGATGATTAGGTAAACTATATTATTCTGATATTTCAAAATCCTGAGCAGTAGTATCAAGACATTATATTGATATTGGTACAACTGCTTCTTCATTTTCCAGATCATCTATGAATTCACTAGTATTTTCAATTGGCTTGAAAATTATAATAAATAAGTAATCATATATTATGTTTATAATAAAATAAACCTACTTTGAGAAAATTTTTGCATAAGAATATCTTGTAAATTCTTTGCTATTTAGCATATGTATGACTACCAGTCATTCTTTAAAAGCCAATGCTACATTTTTTCTTTCCAAACTTGTTGGATCTATATAGTGTGTAGTGACTCCTATGTATGAAGATGAACTAAAAATTAACATTTCTTAAAACTGCTCAAATAATTTGTTCTTAATTAATTTTTATACAGATTTAAATGTTAGCTATACCTGCGATAGGCACTCCAACAATCTGCTATTGTGCATATTAGCAATGGTTCTATTACACTTTTTATGATTTCTTTCTTTTCAATTTCCCATCTTTGTGAAATTCTACCAACCATTGTCTGTTGGCAAATTATATTTTTTTGTGGAGCTAATGTTTTGATCATTTTTATAAATGAAAAATTTTCAATAAGAAAATGGTTGAATTCCAGATATAATAAAAGCAGTTATTAAATCATCTGTGGTTTGGGTTAAAGTCTGAGATCTCTTGGCAAAAAATATCAATGGACAATGAGCCTATCGTATTTTTTGGTAGACATGGCAAACATTTTACTATCAGAGATTTGTTTTCTTTATTTTGAGATGTTATTTTAAAGTATGCTCTATAAATTGGCAATGGAAAACACTGAACTTGATGCTTCATTGATTATTACTTCTTCCTCTTCAATACTATTAACACTAATCTAAAATAAATTAAAATTAGTATAATAAAATAAAATTAACCAATTCCATTGAAAATAAAAATGACAGATTCCTTGAGATGGATTGTAATATCAAGTTTATTGATAAACTCTTACATAATATTTAATGAATTTATATATATATAATTTTTTATTATAGTAGTCTTAATATTTTTTAATATATATATTTAAATTACATTCTCACATTCAAGTATTTTTATTTATAATATAAAAAACGTTAAATAAAAGTATATCAAAATGTATTTTAAAAGTATATAAAAACAGATACAGATACAACATTTTTATATCTAGATACTTTAACAACTCTGATAATTATACATTAAAATACAGCCTGGTGGTCTGTAAATTTTTTTAGGCCCAGTCTAAAATAATAAACGAGCTAGTGTTGTTAAAACGCCGCGAGTCGCGACCCCGACCCAAAGTTCAAGTCGTTTTTTCGACCTCGACCCTAGTCCAAGCCGAAAAACGACCTCGACCCAAAATATAGGTCGTTTTTTTCGACTCAGACTTGAAGTTTGATCGTTTTTTTCGACTACAATTGTCATTATCGTCATTTTTGAACTTTTTTCAATTTTTTTAAGGCAAATGGGTAAAAATATATTTTATAAACATGTTAAATTTCAGTGAAGATGCACCATAGGAAAGTGACATTGTCATAATCGTCATTTTTGAACTTTTTTAAAGCAAATGGGTAAAAATATATTTTGTAAACATTTTAAATTTCAGTGAAGATGTACCATAGGAAAGTGACAATTGTCATACATCATTTTTGAACTTTTTTCAATTTTTTTAGGCAAATGGGTAAAAATATATTTTGTAAACATGTTAAATTAAAAATTCAGTGAAGATGTACCATAGGAAAGTGACAATTGTCATAATCGTCATTTTTGAACTTTTTTCAATTTAATTGAAGCAGATAGATATAAATATAGACTGTAAACATGTTAAATCAATTTTTCATGATGAAAAACCTTGAAAAAATTAAAATAGCCATGTTGATAATTTATTTGGAATATTTTGAAGAAAATGGTTAAAATATAAATTATAAACTAGTTGATTAAAATTTCAACAAAAGCCATAGAAAAGTGATAAAAGTCATAATTATTTTTAAACTCTATTTAATCAAATAGTAAAAATCTTTTTTGTAAAACATGTTATATTAATATCTTAGTGTAGAAGAACCCTAGAAAAAGATTCATGGGGCAAACTATCTCATATAAATACTTATTTATTTTTGGAAAACTGATTTTAATTATAATTAATATTTCAAAGCCTGTTTTTATAAGAGTGTCCGCTATTTTTTCAATAAAGTAGCGTCTTATTAACCACTTTTTACAATACTTGAAATTTTTTTTAAATATCTCTATTTCCACAAATAAAATAAATATGATTAAAATATTAAATATATATATTTTTTTATTGTATCTTAATAATAATATAGTGTCATCCCCAACTTTAGCGATGAGAAAGTATAATCCGAATTTCCGAATAAATAAATTTTCTTATTTAATTTATATATTAAAATTTTTATAGAAAAATCATTAAAAATATTAATTTAAATTTTTTTTAGATTTATAATATAGCGGCTAGAGTATTTTCAGTAGTATATTT